CCCCAAAACCCCAAAACCCCAAAACCCCAAAACCCCAAAACCCCTTTATTTGATCTGATATTGAAACTGTTACTGTTATCTTATATTGATCGGATGGGGTTAACTCTGGATATAGTCCATTGGACCTTGCTTTTGGCTGACTGATAAACCTCCAAATCATCACTACAGTCTCTATCTCTGATGATAGATATTAAGTTCCTCGGCTTCTTCTTTGATAGCCTGCTCTTCAGGAACTTCTTTCAGGGATCCTCATGATTTCTGTTGTCTTTCGTCATGGTTTTTATTGGTTGATTAGTGTTACCTTTTGTGAAATTCGTATATTTTTGCAGATATTTAGCAACCAAATCCGTATTGTAGCCTCTACTGCTAGATTTTAGAGGACTTCTACTCATAGAGACCGACATGAAGTCCCTCAATTGGTTAGGCCAAGCTGATACATGCTGAAATTTTTGAGTCTTTTGGAATGACAGCATGCTCTCTTGACTATTTTTCGGATAAAACCCTTGCTTTTTATGTGAAAATTCATGTATTGTAGACCCCATCCTGATCGGCGAATCCTCCATCTCAGTGTGCATCTTCAGTTGGGAGAACTTTAGACGCCCCCGTTGGAACTTTTTACATGTCTGAGTGTCTGAAAGCAACTTATAGTCATCAGTATATCCGACATCTAAAAAGAATTAGTATTTTCGGTACGAATCAAACCTAAAATGGAAGTAAGCGTACCTTTGTAGATTGCTTTTGAAGAAGAGTTGGAGAAACGCCTTTTAGTAGACGAAGTTCACCTCTTTATTCCATCTGATGAGTTTGAGTTACTATTTAAAATTTTGCAACACTTTAAAAATCCACTGTTGATCTTCTTATGCACTTTATGCATTTTAGCTTCAGTATCCTACCCAACAGGTTAATATGGCAAAGAAAGCTTCAGGGAGGAGAATAAAGAGAGAAACTTACCTCAATTCTTGACTTGTTATAGATATACACAGGAAAATCATTCAGCTGGAGTGTTTGGATTTTTACATCAGTTTCATACTTTCTTCTTAAATTAATTCGTGCAGCCACAGATTTTTGGAGAATAGTCATCCTTCTCTTACTCCTTATGCTAGCTCCCTTAAGTGGAGTTCGCCTCTTTGTAAGAGTAGATGTATAGCTAGGTTTGTCGACGTAGATTCTTGAAGTTGATTTATCGATGATTTTTACCCCAGTAATTCCAACATTAAAGTTCACTGGTTTGCCAAGTTTAGAAACTGGTATTTCTGATGAACTAATGTCTGAACTCCCAGTGCTCCTTGTAGAGTGCTTGGAGCCAACTTCTCAGATTGAGTCCTCCTCCTTGATCTTAGGAGACAGATCAGCAAGATCTGTTAAGGAAGTGGAGGTGTATAACTCCTTTTTCTTGAAACTTTGGGCTTTGCTCATGACTAATTCTGATACTCAAATTATTTAAAACTAAGATCAATTTCTTTAGTTATTGGGGTTTTGGGGTTTTGGGGTTTTGGGGTTTTGGGG